TCAATGCTATTTCCGCTATGGCCTAAGTGCAAATCCCTGGCCAGGGAGCTGAACCACGTAGGCATAGCAAACCTCTCCTATTTTGCCTACTTCTTTCTTTAGCAGTGTATTTCAGTAAACCAGCCTGTTCTGCTCCCCACTCTGTCTCTAGTGAACCCTTTCACCCCCTGCACTTCTGGCCTGCACCCCAGTTCTCCTATGCAAAAATAAATAAATATTTTTTAAAGATTTATTTATTTATTCATACAGAATTGGCATACAGGCCAGAGGTGCAGTGGCAGTAAGAGACTTCACAGGAGACAGAGCAGGGAGCAGAATAGGCAGATCGAGGAAGTACACTGCTGAGGGGAGCAGCAGGAGGGTCAGGAGAGGTCTGCCGCGCCATGTGGGTCACCTCGGGAGTGGGGATCAAACTCATACTGAAGTGGCTTTACCCACTGCACCACCAGGGAGGGCCCAATATAAGATATTGTTTAATTGATGGAAAAAATAAAATAAATATTGATGGATTTAATTGGTGCTGAAAGAACTCAGTTGTCCTAGATCAACAATGAATATAGGAACAGTACTTTGATGAAGCACGTGTAGTACAGGCCAGAGGTTACTATCTCTTCTAAATGTCTAAATCTATAATGAGAAAGTAAGAAATTACATTATCATGATTCTAGAGTTTAGCTACCAGAGGGGGAAAAAAACTCACCTTTCTGTAAAGATGAAATAAGTAAAGTACTTGAACTTGAACAAGATGTGCTAGGTTTTATTGGTTGGAGAAGTTATTTTTAAAGCGGAGAACCAGAGTGGAATTAAAATATCCTTTTAGAACTCTGATGTTTTTATTCACAGGAAAATTAGAATTACGAACCTCCCTGGTGGTGCAACAGGTGAAAGTCTCAGCACTATGCAGCTGTCTGCAGTCACTGCAGCATGAGTTCACTCCCTGGCAGGGAGGTGACACACATGGCGCAGCAGACCTCTCCTGTCTCGTCCGCTGCCCCCCCTCAGCAGTGAATTTCATTAGATCTGCCTGTTCTGCTCCCCACTCTGTCTCTGGAGAATCCTCTTACCCCCATACTTCTGGCCTGTACCCCAGTTCTTATATACATAAATAAATAAATCTTCGGGGAAAAATTAGAATTGTCATAAGTCGTACAGAACTGTTGACTTGGGAATACTAAGAAGTAGATCCTAGACAAAGTTTCAGCACCAGGGCAGGTAACCAATAGCTAAGTGCATGGGTTTAGAGTCACACACACCTGGATTAAAAGTTTAGGGTCCGGGCCCTCCCTGGTGGCACAGCTGGTTAAAGCACAGCACTGAGAAGCTAAAGCCACTTCCCCATGAGTTCGATTCCCGCCTGCCCCGGAGGTGACCCACGTGGCACAGCAGACCTCTCCTGACCCGCCTGCTGCTCCCCTCAGCAGTGTACTTCGTCGATCTGCCTGTTCTGTTCCCTACTCTGTCTCTGGTGAAGCCTCTCACCACCCCTGAGCCTCTGGCCTGTACCCCAGTTCTGTATGTGCAAATAAATAAATCTTAAAAAAAAAAAAGTTTAGGTCCCATCACTTACTGGTTGTGTAACTTTCAGAAATGTATGGAACCTCTTGCAAGTAAACCAAGTACTTTCAGGCTTTGGTGCCTCTGAAAGGCAACTCCCTCTGCCTTTAATACCATTCACCTCTTTTACCCCATTGATTCTTACTCATCCTTCAGGTCTCAAATCAACATTACCGATTCCTGAAAGCTGCAGTTCCCCAGAGTTAGGTATTGCTATTTGCTGTCTCCTTCCCAAATGTCCTAAATGTATGTTCAATCATAATATATGTATGGTAACTTGGTAATTTTTAAACATTTGTTTCTTCCACACATTGGGAGTCTTCAAGCTAGGCTCCCTGGGCTAGATCTGACCCATGATCTCTTTTGGTATAGCCCTCAAGAATGTTTTTTTACATTTTTATAGAGTTGGTTTTAAAAGATTATTTGCTTAAATATTCTTAAATATTTACTACCTGACCCTCTCCAGAAAACATTTTTGACCCCGCTAGATAAGAAATTTGAGCACAAGGGAATATTTTTCTTTTTTTTTAAGATTTTTTATTTATGTATGATACAAAACCTGGGGTGTAGGCAAGAGATGCGAGCATGAGAGGCTTCCCCGGAGACAGAGTGGGGAGCAGAACAGGTGGCTTGACTGAATTACACTGCTGCTGGGAACAGTGGGCGGGTCAGGAGAGGTCTGCCACTCCATGTGGGTCACCTCCCTGGGTGGGGATTGAACTCACGCTGCAAATAGTTTATTAATGCTGAGACATAATCCCTTGCACCACCAGAGAAGACTATAGGAAATATTTTTCATTTGACTGTATATCCTACTAGTAGCACAATGCTGGGCACATAATAAACGTTCAAATGTTTGTTGAATAAAAGAATGAATTAATGAGCACAACTAATATATTTTAAAGTATAATTTATGATAGAATCAATAGACAATTTTATTTGCCTCCCAATGTGCACATAAAATGTACGGTGAGCAATTTTTTTCCTGACCCTGAATGGAAATGTGGACAGATCACAAGGCTTTTCAGTTTATTTCTAGGATAAAGTAGTCCTGAGATCACTGAAACACAGTTTTGATTCAGGACATATTTAGCCCAGGATCAAAATCTTCAGAGTTTACTCAACGACAAGTGACCCTACACAAAGGCTTATTTTACCTTTATCAGGGTGGAAGCAGGAACAGGAGAGGTAAAGTGGTCATGTATTTCTGCCTTGGTAGAATCAGTGGCTTTCTACTCTAAACCTCTGGCTCTTCTTTGGATTGCTTAAAGATCCCTATCAGTGAGGAACCCCACCCCTGCAAATTGGGAGACCTAGATTGAGGCATTTCTATTCAAGTTAGTGTATTATAACTCCCTCCTCAATCCCTAAGAATTCAAGTAATCTCTGGCTTTTTGTTGTTATATCCCTCCACCGGTCCACTGTCCAGTGTCCAGGATGAACCCACCTTGTCCCTCTTTCTAGCATGACCCCCATTTGGTTCTCAAAGGTCCCTTGCCCTGACATTTTGAAAATGCCTGCCAAGCCCAACACAGTCAGTCCACTGTCATCCTGCCAAGGGCCACATTAGCTTTCTCAGCATGGAGAAAGTCAAAGAGAAAGCATCCTCTTCCTCTATGGCAGGGAACAATTTCAAGCTAGGTAAGTGATCTGGAGAGATACCCTTTCACTAGGGGTGAGGTGAAGGAGCTGGTATCTCCCATGTCCCACCACTCCAATTACAGCTGCTAGCCCTTATCACCATGGAAGGTAGAGATAGCCACAGAATGGCCATAGGTGTCTGCAAAAAATGTTTTCGCAATTTTCCTCCCCACCTCCTTCCATAATCTGACTTCTTTTTGTTTCTTGGATCCTGCTTTGGCTCATTTCCTTTGTAAATTCTGCATATGATGACTTGACTTTGGAATTGCCCATCTATTATAAGGCATCTATTACACCTTCCTAGAAACTTGACTTTTAATATGTTATGTAAGACACTTCAGCACAAACAGAAAATTACTCTGAAGTCTCATGCTTGATTGTAAAATATGTACACAATTTGTATTTTACAATATGGGTTTGTTATCCTATAAACCACACTTTAAATTATCACTAAAATTACTTATATTCTCCCATTCCAAACTTTCAAGTAAAATTGACCCTCTAGGAAAATGCACTGTGTTTATCCTGCAGCTTCATGATAAGCTTCAAGTTTGAAAAACTAGCTTACCACAAGGCACTAGACCATGCTGGCAAAGCATTAAGGATTTCATGGGGAGTTCAACCCCACTGTTGCCACTAAAATAAGGGAAAAAATAAATTGATGAAAATATAGAAGATGCAAAATTTGTCCAAGAGAATTTAGGATAAAGAGGAAAATGCTGTACTTTCTTTAAATCAGTATAATACTGTTATTAATCTTATCATTACTATTAATCCCATAATAAAATAGTGGATAACTTTGACTTGTTGGATGAATAATGCACTTATTAGTTATTATAATATTGGAAAAGTAACATGAGGATATTCTGGCAGTCTTCCATGCATTATAGAAATTGTATGCTTATTTCTGAGGAAGATGTAGGTCCATAGTTTTTTATTAGGTCCTCAAAAGGATCCAATGCCCATAAAATGTTAAGAACACTCCACAGAGAAAACAACAGAGATTTGGGGATAATACTGCCTTGATTTCCAAGTTTACTAAACTACATAACATATTTCTCTGGGCCTCAGTTTCCTTATTTGTAGAATATGAGTGGTAAGGATAATACTGCTTAAAGTCACAGGGCAGGTGTGAGGATTAAATGAAATTCTATCTTTTAAGTGCTTGACACAGAGAAGGTACTGGAGAAAAAGTTAATCTTCCTCCTATGATAATATATAAAATGCAATAAGGGCATTTAACTACAGGTAGATGAATAACTTATAATGGAACATATACTGTGGCTGGATACACATTTTTCAAAGACATTCTACCTGAATCTTAGAATCCTAATTGGAAATTCTGGAGTCCAAGACTGAAGTTAAATTCCACAAAAAATTCAAATGAAAAGTATTCAGTTGGTGCCTAAAAATATTACCCAAACCTAGGAACATACATTTTGTTTGTCAACATGGAATTATTTAAATACCGCTACATTCTGGCATGTTTGGTTTCAAATCTTAGCATATATTACTAATATAAGAAAGACCTATGGTGAAAAACCTCCTGAACTAAACAAGATACCTGATCCACTTAAATGGCCTATCAAGAAGCTTTTATAAAGACAAGGAGACCTAGCAAATCGTACAGCTCATGAAGACTCGAAGGGGTTAAAGTGGAAGGCTTATAGAAACTTAGCTTCTCGCTAATCTCCTCCCTCTTGTGCTCCACACTGCTCAGGCTGAGCAGAGCTGAATCACTCACTACCTTGCTGGCATACTATAAACTGTTGCCTGCGAAAAAGGAACTGGGCGCTTACCTATTCAGGCTGCTTCCATTGAAGTGTTTCAGAGGGTATATACACCTCCAGACACCTCTTGGCTCTTTGGAGTTTATAAGGAGCCGGCACCGAAACTGAACTCTAGCTGTAAGTGGTAACCTGCATTTTAAGTAACTAGTAAAAAAAAGGTGCTTTTCAGTTTTTCACTGGAAAGGTCTGACTCTAGGAAGATGAAAAGAAAAACGCTCTGCATGAATATCTTTCTGTTTCTTGCAAAACAATTTTTTTCATTCTATTTTCCAGATATTCCAGAGATGTTCCCAAACAAATTACCTGTCGGTGCAAGCTTCAAGAGGGACACTTAATGGCCAAGCCCATTCATCCTGTGAGCGAGGGAAGGTAAGACATGTTTGAAAATATGATGTTATTCACGGTAAAGTGAGCGGCATTATTTTATTTATCGGCAGGTGTGACAAATAGACACCATCTGCTGCAGAATACACAGCAACTCCCACTTGAGAAAGCTTATTACTTAATGGCTCAAACCACTGAAGAAGCACTTGCCGCTGGAACTATTTTTTTTTTTTTTTTCACATCGGCTGATGTGAAACTAGATACTCAAACAGCAGCTACCTCCTGTAAATTGCCCTCTGGAACACAGGGCAAATAAATGCAAGCAGAAGGCACGAACTGCTGCAAGCTGTTGAAATTAGTAATTTTTACTTTGTCTCTGCCTTGTACCGGTCACTTTCCTTATATCAAGTAGGATTTCAGCTCTCGATTTTTCTAGCCAGGTGTCCTGCGGAAAATTAAATTAACAGTGTAGTCTTTTCAGAACTTTATCTTCTTAAAAAAAAGTAACCCCTGGGAGTTCATTGACAACTGAAACATGAAAACAAGTTACATTTATCTCTCTATCCTCAGCACTTAGCACACAAAGATTTGCTGAGAAAAGATCCACATGACTGGGGGGGGGGGTGTACACACAAGTTATTAGAACAAGTTTCACCCAAGAAATCCCCTTTAGTATAGATGGAGAAAATTCACATTCCCCACTTTAAAAGGACCAAAATTCATGCTCCGTGGATGTTTGTTATCTTGTTTCTATGAGGTTAGCTAGAGGCTGATGGTGAGCATTACCAGTCTTGGCATTTCAGTGTTCATGCCCAAAAATCATGAGAATTCTTTTTATTACCAATAGTTTATTTACCGAGTCAAAGATAACACATAAAATTAGTAAAACAAAGTTGCATTCGTATCACCCTGGTACTTCAATTTACATCAGAAGTGAAGTCAACCAGCTGTGCAAACTAATATTAAACATTGGCCAATTATTTATTTCTGTGTCTCTGCCTTTCCCCAAATCTTCTCTTTCCCATTCCCATGGCCCTTCCTTCTTTCCCAAAACTTACCCCCTTTTGCCTTTTGTCTTCTCCACTTAATCACTCATTTCCTCCCACATCTTATCTGTCCACTTCCCACTTCTCTCATTTTACCTTTCTTTCTCCCCTCCTCCCTCTCCCCTTTCTTTTACAAATCGCTTATCTTCCTCCCATTCCTCATTCTACCTCTTATCCCTCAGCAGCTTTCCATGTGTTTTTCCAAAGATGAAAGCCTGATTTTTATTTTATGAACTTTCAAGTAAGAACTGCATGATACTGAATCTACAAGGGTCTTTCCATAAAAATCAGATCTTTCAGAATTAGTAGACTCTAGGTTTCTTCTGAAATTGTATGGTTATTTTTATTTTGATGGTGCAAAACTTTTAATGGGGCAATCACATTATCTGTGCAACACATTATTAATTAGTTAGCAATGAGAGCTACAACAATCTTATCTAGAAAGCTTTTGTGAGAAATTATCAGATGCAGGCCCAGCAATGAAGTGTTCCCTAATCCCTAATTTGCTTATTCATTTCAAAGTCATTTATGGACTTAAGGAGTTAACTTGATAGACCTGTCTGAATTGACCAGGGTTTTTGGTATCCTGCCAAGTACAGGGGTTTTAAAAAAATCTATATGATTAGTTAGCTTTCCAAACCCTCAAATGAAATATTTAAAAAATTGTCAACCTTACCTGAGATCATTGTTCTCTATAGCCTCTCCAAGCCTCACAGAATTCTTATAAATATTTTATAAGTATTAAGAACTAAGGAATATTTAAGACCTGCCTGAAGACTGAAGGAAGAATGTATACTATCAATTGTTACTGAAAGGCATCTGAGCTTTCTACAATGTAAGACTGTCAACCCAGAACTTGTAGTTTTTCTTTGAAAGTAATTCAAGAGCAAAGTTTCTAAGCAAATGATTATTTCTTTAAAAAAATTTATGCATATAAGAATTGGGGTACAGGCCAAAGTTGGGGGAATGAGAGGATTTACCAGGAACATAGTGGGGAACAGAACAGACAGATCAACTAAAATATACTGCTGAAGGGAGCAGTGGGTGAAACAGGAGAGGTTTGCTGTGCCATGTGGGTCAGCCCCTTGGCCAGGGATCAAACTTGTGCCACAGTGGCAGTGGACATAGTGCTGTGCTTAACCCTTTGCAACATCAGTGAGACCCAACAAGTGATTATTTTGTAATTCTAGAGTATAACCTGGAATAGTTATGTCTCATCTGTCAATTAGAGGTTAGAGAGTGGGAGAGGGTAAGAGAAAGAAAAGGAAGCTTGGGACTCTTCCTCGAGTTATGTTAGTTAACAGAACAGAGATAAGATTGTGCTTCTCTTCAGACTGTCAGTGCTAAGAGCATTTCTTCAGTCATACTCACACATTTTTTCAACAGTTATTGTGCAGCTATTGACAGCATGACTGTATAAGAGATAGAATACTGATAAGATTCTCAAGGAGTTTATAATAAATTACAACTTGGGATGAAACACATCAACTAGAGATCTGTAATATTAGATGAGTGTAACTTCTCCTGGAGAGATGGAAAGCTTGTGGGAATTAGGGTTTGGATGGTATCTCAAGGTCAGCTTGATGAGCTGAAGCATGAAGCACAGTAGTATTTGCCCAAGCAGAGATGTATGAGTATAGAAGGAAGTTGTCAAGCAAAAACATGGAGACCGGAAGGTAGGTAACAGTGAGCACACTGCTTGATTGGTCAGGATAATGGAAGGAAGGAAGGTCTTCCAGACAGCCTTGAGTGCCAAGCTGAGTGGAATAATGTGCAAAGGCAAGCAGTAAGGTGACTCACAGGTGATAAGTGGTCTTCTCAATTTTATCCCTTTTTCAACCTATTAAAATTGTTACAAATGAATCATATAGTAATCGAATACAGAGCTTAAAACAAAACAAAACCAAAAAAAGCAAGTTGAAAAAGATAGCCAGCTTGACTCTTTAAAGTTAGGAAAAGTAACATGTTTAGAATGGGGTGTACCCAGGTGTGTAAATACAAGCTAGATAATGATGAACAAAAATTAGTGTGCTGGTTCTACCTGGGGAGGAAAAGACAATAGGATGAGTTGGAAAGGAGCTGAAGTAGATGTCGTGTAAAGGGGAATATTAAGTAGGCAAATGAAAGAGTATCCATGATGACAATGCTCTATAAACCAGAGTGTGGTTTCTCCAAATCTCTGGACCTGTTACTATCCATATGGGAGGACAGATATGCTAAGATACTATAAAGGCTTCTCCCCCTCAGCTTGCACTCTAGGGCTCATTTTTTTCCCTCTTTCTCTTCCAAAGGGCAGGCAAAAAACTAACTTAAGAGAAATATGAGTAAACATTCATTAAGCTTTTGTCTTTGGGCCAGCACCACTCTTAAGGAAAGATGTTGCAGAGAAGAGAAGTGGGAGAGGAGTCTGCTTTGACTGAAAAGCTCTATGTGAAACCCATTTAGTAAATAGGGACAGTTGAAATCAAAAGACACCTCTGTGCTGGTGGCCTGGGCCTGACAGCGTCCTGAATTGTGAGCCTCTGTTCCATGGCAGAGAGGTGCTTCTCAGCCCTGGCAGCATGTCAGAATCACCTGTGCTGCTTTAAGCCACACTGAAGTTCATGTCCCACACATGTCTCTAAGCCACACTGAAGTTCATGTCCCACACATGTCTCTGAGCCACACTGAAGTTCATGTCCCACACATGTCTCTGAAGGAAGCCCGGTATATATATGTTCAAAAAGCTGAATAAATGATCCTGAAATGTGCCAAGCACCAGAAGCCCTTTCTGTCAGTACTCTGTGTAGTTGGCCCAAATGTAGATTTCAGCATCCTGTCCCCAGAAATTCTAACCTATGAAGGAAGGGGGGGGGTGGCTAGAAATTTGCATTTTAATAAGCCTCTTCCAGGTGACTCAGAGGAAGGAACATCTTTGGGTCACATTAAGAAACATTGCCCCCAAAGGTTCCAAAACACCAGGGCCTCAGGGTGACTACTCTGTGTATTGGTTTCCCAGGGATGCCATAAACAAATTACTGAGCAGGGTGGCTTAAAACAACAAAAATATATTCTCTCAGGTCCGGAGGCTGAAACCTCAAATCAAGTCTCCTCCTCTCAGGCCATGCTCACTCAGCAATCTATAAGGGTAAAATCCTTCATTGCCCCTGCTAACTTTTGATTTGCTGGTAATCTGTGTTTTTTGTTTGTTTGTCTGTTGTTGTTGTTTTTTTTTTTTCACATAAAGATGCATCAGTCCAGTCTATGCCTGTGTTTCTGTTTGTATGTCTTCTCTTCATATAAGGTCCTATTAGATTAGCGCCAACGTAATGACCTCACTTGAACATGATTACATCTGCAAAGACCCTATTTCCAAATAATGTCACATACACAGGTACTGGAAGGTTCAAACTTAAAACAGGTATTTTGGGGGAACACAATTCAAGCCTCAACACTGTTTTGATTTCTTTAAGTAGGAGCCCCAAACAACCAATAAGACACATTAACTATGTTCTTTAGCTTGCATATCTAGAGAGACAATTCTCACTACTGATAGTTAGTGCTGAAAACTTGGTGTACAAAAAACCACCTAAAAATTTTGTATGTGGCCCTCCCTGGTGGCGCAGCGGGTTAAAGCACAGCACTGAGAAGCTAAAGCCACTTCCTCATGAGTTCGATCCCCGTCTGCCCCAGAGGTGACCACATGGCTTGGCAGACCTCTCAAGACCCGCCCGCTGCTCCCCTCAGCAGTGTACTTCGTCGATCTGCCTGTTCTGCTCCCCACTCTGTCTTTGGTGAAGCCTCTCACCGCCCCTGAGCCTCTGGCCAGTACCCCAGCTCTGTATGTACAAATAAATAAATATTTAAAAAAATTTTTTTTTGTATGTATGGCCCTCCCTTGTGGTGCAAAGGGTTAAAGCAGTGCACTATGAAGCTCTCAGAAGCCACTGCAGCACAAGTTTGATCACCAGCCAGGGAGCTGACCCACATGGCGTGTCAGACCTCTTCTGACCCACCCACTGCTCCACTCAGCAATTTATTTCAGTACATCTGCCTGTTCTGCTCCCCACTCTTTCTCTGGTGAATCCTCTCAGCCCCCTCCACCCCCCACACCTCTGGCCTGTATCCCCGTTCTGGGTGCAAAAATAAATAAATAAAAAAAAAACAACTGTATAGAATGCATATTCCTGGGCCTTGAGAATGTTACTGGCATGTCAAATGGTCTCAGTTCCCTTGGCCAAGAAAAGGAAACAGAGTTTGAAGGAAAGTAGTTTAATTTCTCAACAAAACAAGGAGGGCAACAGACTAGTGTCTAAAAGACCACGGTTCTGCTCTTTGGCAGAGGGCAAGGGTATTTATCCTGAGCTACAAGGGAGTGGAAGGGGGAAGTAGGCAATGGTCAGCATGTCCAGCCTTGTGGTACAGACTTCTGGAGATTTTGTGGAAATTCAGTTTGGCGCCACCTTGCTTTGCTATCCCCTGGTGGTCAGCAATTGCCATGTTATCTTCCAGTGGTTCTCTTTTCCCTCTGAATGTAAGAAAGCAGCATCTGATAAGCCTAGAGGGTAAATAAAGAAAATAGGAGTGCTTATCTGGTGGGACAGAGAGGCAGGTGCTTTGTTGTTGCATCACTATAAAGGCTGAGTCTCCAGGAGGATTTTCAAGCCCCCACTGTGGAGATTATGATTTTTGGCTCAGGCTTAGAGTATGTGTTTTAATAAGTGTACTAGCTAAATCATATGATCAGTTAGTTTGGAAAACACTGTCCTAATCTAACCTAGTTATTATCTGCTGTGTGATCTGAATATTTCTTTAATCTTTGAATAGTTGTTTCCCACAGAGGGAAAAAGGCATTAAAATAATGAAAACTCAGGATACCATCTTAAAACTAATTTGACAGCACAGACCATTTCAAAATATATCAATTAATTTTTATTACCAAAAAAATGCTATCTGTTTTTCTTAGGTTCTTGAACGTTTCATTTTGTTTTTCAATTTCAGGAAAGTCAGTCTGTTGAAGAACGTTGAGAAATTTCTGAGCCTAGGCCTACTGCTGTCGTCATGCCTGAGACGTCCTCCATCTGAGATTTGCCAGGTCTGAGAACAATTTCCCTCCAGTTCACAGTGAGGGACGGCCACAGAGCTGCAGAGAACACGTCTTCTAGATTTCTAACCCCCCAGCTGTGCCACCTGAACAGGAACCACATAAGCCCATCTGTAGGGAAGATTCAGAAAGACACACCAGAGGGCTGAAAACTCAGATATGCTGAAACTGAAAAACACAAAAACCTTTAGAAAATCTCCTAACAGAGGAACCCAAGTAAATCCATGTAACTGGTGAAAAATCCTTAGATGAGCGACAGGTAAAACAGCCCTTTCTCCCTTAACCAGAACAGAATAGAAATTTGATTTAATAGAGAAAGTCTTGTTCCCATACCAGTGTTATAAGACAGTTTCACCACATTTATTTTAATCAGTATAAGAGTAGGACTGTGGAAACCAATATATATATATATATATACTTATATATATATATATATATTGTAAAATAAATGATTAAGAAGTTCAAGTAAAGTCTAGAGAGGTGGGAGAGACTGTGCTGGAGGACAGAGAGGGTGGGGCCATCGCCAAATTAGAGCATCACTATTTCTTGCTTGTGTAACTTGGTTTGGACCCCGATTGGTTTGAATGAGATTGTTAGAACAACTCCTACACTTTCAGAGCTATTCTACCTGACTCTGGAATGCTTCGAGGGCAATAAAAATCAAGTAGAAGAGGTGCCAACTCAAGTCCTGAGTGATGACGGAGGTACATTTCAAGCACCATGGAAATCTCACTGGGCGGGCACATTTCCCCACGCTGGCCACAGAGGTTGATACAACTTCAGATAAGTATTCCAACCTGTACATGTATGTGGGCTTGTTCCTGAGCCTCCTGGCCATTCTTCTCATCCTGCTCTTTACAATGCTCCTTCGGCTCAAACATGTCATCTCACCCATAACCACCGAGAGCACAGAAAGTGTTCCTCAGTTCACAGATGTGGAGATGCAGAGTCGAATCCCTACTCCTTAAAGCAGGGCAAAGGTGAGCTTCGGTGACTCTCAGAGAACTCTTGTATGTCGACGTTCCAGAACATTTAGTCGGTTGCATGTAGTTTCCCACCTAGAGTATCAAGTAATTATTCCTGTTTACCTTTTTGCTACTCTTTATTTCAACTTTGCTTGTGGGGTATCTAAGAGGCTTAAAATTTGTTCTTTGTGAGCAATATAGGAAATGGCAGCTTGTTGGGAGGGCAGGTTTCCATAGTAACCAAAGAGAGCCTGGGCCTTGAGCAAACTTCAGACCAGAGAAGTTCTTATGCAGCTGTTACAAGAAACGCAAGATCCATAGAAGCTCCAAGAACAACGAATTTGCCTTCAAGAACTGATTGTTCAAAGAGGGTACCCCCCCAAAAGGAACACAATTAAGTTAGCACTTGGGCCTTAAAAAATCGCCTCTGCTGACATGAAGCTAAATCACATCAGAGGTGAATGGGAGGGGACCGCTAACCTGTTCCCAAAGGGACAATGATTTGATCATCTAAGGTCACTGGGCTTGCCCCAAATGAAAGAAGAGATTTAAAGAAACTTTCATTTAAAGAGCAAGTTTGCAGAAAGAAATTGCTAGTCAGTAGACTCGCCTGTAGTGGGAAAATGTGCATTTTATATCTGTGTTATTACTATTACTGGACTTTTAAAAATGCAGATAATGGTAGATGTATTACAAAACTTTGGAATGATGAGCTACCCCCAAAGATGGGGAGTAATAATAAGTCAAAATATGCTCACAACAATAAGACTTACATTATACGTGCAGGGTCTTTGCCTTTTTCTCCCTCCCCATCACACTACAAGATTGAGTTGCACGCAGATATGAGCTTTGTTTAAAGGGGGCCTTGGCAAAGAAGAATGAACTATACTTTAAAGCAAAAACAAAATAGTCTTGGTATCGTATCTATCATTGCATAATTGTGGCTTTGAACAGAAATTTCAAGCCTCTGGGCCCCAGTTTTTTCTTCAGAAAAATGACCAAAGTTATTTATTCATCTCTAGACTCCTTTTAGATCTAACTGTCAGAAAAACAGAGGAGGGAAGGACTAAACAACACCCTCCCACCAATCCTTAGAGATCAATTCCTCAAGTGTCACACTTGTCTTTCCCAAAAATGTTCCCCCCACCTATCCCTGCCAAAAGACGAAGTGTCTCACTTATCTATACAAGAAATATATTTTGAAAAGTCCCATCCCTATAAGTAGCCCTAGTGTGCCCATAGTGGAGAAAGATTTTTAAAGTAACATTATAAAGGGGAACCAAAGGAGATGAGTAGTATTTACAAATCAGAAATTTCAAGACGATTATAATCTTGCCACCAAAGAACTAAATACACCTGTGTTAAATCCTGCCAGCTTAAAAAAAAAATAGGTTCTCTCCTGCCCCTAAATAGTGGTCATCAAATTTCACAGGGTGCTCCCACGGGAACTCAGTGGAGGTGAGAGAAGGGGAGTGGACATCAGGTGGATGCCACCTTCACAGAAAGGCAGCTCTCTCTAGTCTGTACCCGATTTAGATTGGCCCCTTTACTCTGATCTAAATCTAGCATGGTGGTGAAATTCCCTAGTGCTTTCTACTTTTATAAACAGTCATTTGCCAATACTTGCCTCTCCAAGGGGCTGCAAAGTGTAAAATCCCCACACGCAGGGCTAAACTTAGCAGCAAGGCTGACTCGGGCACACCTGTTACAACAGAGTACCGTAAGAGATGGCAGCTGCAAGGTGCACCCATCAGACGAGATCAGCAGGTAGGCTAAGACTCGAGAAGGGTGACAATTCCCTTTTGGCATTATGTTTTCCAAAATGCAAAGTGATTTGTATATTATTTCGTTTGGTGGCTGAAGTTGTGTGTTTATGCAACACTCGAACTCCATATACCCTTTAAAAATTCAGCTCTGGAGCTATGCAAGACTTCACTGCCAGCAGACCCCAGAACTTCTTCTGGACACACATCTCCCCTCACTCCAAGCTCTCCCTTTTGTGCTCACAGTATTTAAATGCACTTTACAATGAAGATGTCAATGGCTGGATAATTAAAGGAACTGATTACACTTTCTCGACAGTAGCAAATAGCAAGATACCCAATCAATGCCTCGTTGCTGAATCCGATGAAGAAAAAGGGTAAATCTACTCCTTGCCCACGCACCTTCCCCAACCCAACTTTCACAAGTTTAAATGCTCTTTAATCACCAACTTGGATGGAGATTCCTGATTAGGCTACTCACCTGAAAAACAACCACCCTCTTTCATCACAACTACTCTCATGGGATCCAGATCTTCAATGAGCTTTAGCCAGAACACACCACATGGATTGTGCTAAAATAGCAGCATAACCCCCACAGTTTCCCGTGATAACATAGTGGACATGCATTTGAGCAGATGTGTCATTATGATGACTCGCGTGGTATTTAATCTTTAGGAAAGAAACTCAATGTTTTCATCCTAGCAAACTTACTGTAAAGAAAAGAATTTTTGCATTATTAGAAAATTGTTAATCTATCCCCATTGTATTAATTAGCATTTATTACTGCTCAAAGAGGCAGCTAGAGCAACCAGAGGGCACTGTTTGAATGTATGCATCCATTCAAAACGCTCACTTGGCCATTTTTTTCCCTCTTTAGAAAATTGTATGTTAGCTAAATGGATAGAGACAGGTCAGTTATTTATCTACAGGTTTACTCTGTTTTAAGGAGAAAGAACGATTCTTTACTTTTTATTATCCTAAGCCAAGTGAAATTGCCATTTCTGCAGGTCAAAAATGCTTAAATATCAGCAGCTTAATATAATTCCACCTAATAAAAAGACTCACCATATGAATACTTTAACTAGTAAACTCTCCTAATATGTTTAAAAATAATTTAGTTTCTGAAGAGGTACTTTTCATACATTTCAGAAACTTGGCCTGTATAAAACAAGGTGTACTGTACAAGGTTAATGTAATATGTATTACGTATTAGGCAAGGAGTATATGGCTCGTCCAGCAAAGTCAGGTTCATCCAGCCTAACCATTCCATCCATGCCAAATCTGAAGCTTAGGACTCATAATTGAGTTTGTCTGCTGCAAAGCCCCACCATTCTTACAAAGTAGGTAAAAGGGGTCCATTTAATGCAGTTAAATGGTTTTACTTAATAATCCATTTTACTGCATTTGTACAAAAAAATTTATAACAAAATGAATTGTGTGGAAGGAAAAAATTGGGTTTCTTTTATTTGAAGTCATTAATATTTGGAATAGATTCCTCTTATATAAAAACAACTATAATATCTGAATTAATATTTAGCATGTCATGTTTGAGCCCTGGAAAACAAGTGCTAACTCCTCTTTGGTTTGCTAGTACATGTCTACTGGCTGAAGAATGTAAAGAGCATCAGTCTCTTCATCCCAAATAAATTGTAACAATTACAGAGTTGTGGGATTTACAATTTTGAGATGATAATTTTTTTTCTTATTCTGTAACCCTTCCCAGCACCCCAGCTTTTGTTTCTCTCCATTTACAAAAGCGTTTGTTTCCCTAGTAGTAAGATGTTAAAAAATGATTCATGACTGTCCGATGTTAATGAAGCTGATTTGAGGTAAGAGTAAGAGAAAGTCTGGCAAGTGTCTACCTTGTAGGGACTTCGAGAATGTGTTTTCTGTTTCATATTTTCTTCACTTGATACTCCTAGCAACCCCAGGGACAGTGAGTGGAGGTATTTTGAAGGTTGTTTTTACAAAAGAGGATGTGAGCAGGGAGATTACTGAGGCATGCATGGTTACACAAAGCCCAAGTCAAGGTTACACTGCTGGCCTTTGGACCACTAGTTTAGAGCTCAGCCCACCAAGCTTTGCTTTTTGAGCACCGGATACTCTTTCAAAGCTCTCTCTTCTGTAACAGTCCAAGGACCACAAATGATTGGATTCTATATGTGATGAACTCATTGTGCTCAAATTCAAAACAAATAAGCAGAATTCGGACAACTATTTAAATAATTTTATAGCTGCAGCATTAGAATGTGGGGAAGTCTACACAAAGGTAGAGCCTATAGCTTTAATTTCCTTGCATGGAAAATTGTGGCAGAAATATAGGTACATTCTCACCCACAATGCAAATCCTAATCCTCTGATTGTTTGACTTAGTATCCACAGTCAATGCTAATTCTTCATGTGCATGGTTATTATTTCTCCCCGCCTCACCTAGAAATGGGAACACCTCCTTTTAGGTAAAAATATTATTCTTTAAAATTGTATAATGTTCTAACTGTTCACAGCAATTCCATCTGTGCTCTATAAAAAAGGTAACGACATTAAAAGGGAGAGAATTACAGGCCAGTGAAATTTCCCCTAGATGCAAAGAATGAATTATTATACTTCATAGAAAAAGGAGGTAGAATTATAGAACATATGTAGAATAGGAAAAGGAAATGCACGTATTAAATACGGGTGAGGAGACTTTGGAGAATTGCATGAGCATTTCCAGGTATTCCAATTCATTTCCACATAAAGTATTCATTGATTAAACCATCCACAAAAATGAGACAATATAAGAGACAGATTAAACAGTGTACTGGGCTAGGCTCTGCAGGGATCTGAAGTTTGTAATCAAGTTTACAATCTTGCAAAGATAAGTAGCTCATTTCTTTCAGTTATTCATTCATTCACTCACTCAATCTATCAGTAGATATTTATTTAGCACCTACTCTAAGTGCTAGGAATGAAAGCAAAACACATTTAATGCTCCAGTGAAAGTTTCAATTTACTGGAATATATAGCAACCAACACAAAAATACTGTGGTATAAAGAAGTACAGGGTGGGGCATGGTGTGGTGGGGTGAGGTGGGATGGGGTGCCTGGGGTGGGCCCTCCCTGGTGGCACGGCGGATTGGAGTGCTGCACTGTGAAGCTAAGCCAAGCTGTAGCTGCTTCAGTGCAAGTTGGATCCCCGCCCCTGAGGTGATTCATATGGCACAGCAGACCTCTCCCGCTGCTCCCCTCAGCAGTGTACTTCGACGATCTGCCTGTTCTGCCCCCCACTCTGTCTCTGGTGAATCCTCTCACTGTCCCTGCACCTCTGGCCTGTATCCCATTTCCATATGCACAAATAATAAAATCTTTTTAAAAAAGAAGTACATGGTGCTGCACAAATAAAGTGAAGGGGATACTGCCTGGTTTGGCCTAGTAATGCTATCTAAGGTAAAATCTAATAGAAGAATAAAAAGAGAGAATAAGGCAAATACTCCATAAAGAATAACATGTGCAGCCCTCCCTGGTGGCGCAGCAGGTTAAAGCACAGCACTGAGAATCTAAAGCCGCTTCCGCATGAGTTCGATTCCTGCCTGCCCCAGAGGTGAGACCATGGCGCGGCAGACCTCTCCTGACCCACTCGCTGCTCCCCTCAGCAGTGTACTTAGTCGATCTGCCTGTTCTGCTCCCCACTCTCTCTGGTGAAGCTTCTCGCCGCCCCTGAGCCTCTGGCCTGTACCCCAGTTCTGTATGCACAAATAAATCTTTAAAGAGAAAAAAAAGAATAACGTGCAAAGATTCTGAGGTCAAATAAATTTGGCACACTTGAAAAGGCACAGAGAATGAGGAGAAGGTAGAAATGTAGAAAGGTTAACAGGCACAAGAACATGCAGGGCCTTGGCAGTATTGTGGGGTTTTAATTTTATTTTTAAGCCTAGAGAAGAAGAGAACACTGGCTGTAATGGGGAGGGTAGGCTGAAGAATGGGGAGAATGGGTGCAGTTAAGAGGCCATGGAAATGGCTCAAAAAAGGTAACACTTGAGACTTCCACCATCAAGTGATAGTGAGAACAATAAAGAGAACTGAATAGATTTGAAATGGATTGAGAAGACAAAGTCAGCATTACTTCTAATGAATGAGGTAAGTAAGAAGGAGAAAAGTCTATAATGAGTTATGGGTTTCTGGTTTGAACAAGCATCATCAATAACAAAAAAAAAACTGGAGGAAAACTGGATCAGAGGGCAGTTGAATTCAGTTTTGTTGAATGTGTGTTTGAGACATCCAAGTGCACTATTGAATAGACAGCTGAAAATACACAGTCTGGGAGCTCACAACAGGTTAGCTTTGGAGACATAAATTTCAAAGGTGCTAACAGATAAGACAGCTCAGGGGATGGTTATAGAGTAGACTGAGTGACTACATAGAACATGCCCAAATATGCTCCTCCAACTTTTTTGGGTGATTAGTAACTTGGTAAGCAGGTAAGGAAAGATTAGGTTGAAGGGTCTCCAAGCTAAAGCATTGTGGGTAACTGATCAACACCTGTGGGCTTACATGCGTGCCGGTTGGCAGCACCTGGAGTGTGGTGTGGGTGTGCGTGAGTAGGTGCACCTGAGCCAAGAGACTGAGCATATAAGGGCAGCAGCTGAGGACAGAGGTGGGCAGCAGCAGAGGACATGGCCACAGAGGGCCATGCTTCAGAGTGCAGTAGAGGCCAGAGACGAGAGCATGAGGCCAGAGAGCCCAGGAAGAGTGAAGATTCATATGGGCTGGAAAGCCTGGAACCTCCAGACCCAATTGTCTCACTGCAAATGGTGTAGAAAGATCATAAAAAGCCTGAAAAAGCTGCTGAGAGCCCCAGGACTCCTCCTTGACCTGTGTCCCGGGTCATAGAAAATCTGCTCCGTGCCTTGCTGGCGCTACAAGCATATTTCCCGGATACCCTTAAAAGCGGGATATGTGGAAGAGAAAAGCAGAACCTAAGTCCTCTGGGAAAAGGGAAAACTACAATCTGAGGAAACCAAATACAACACAAAGGTTAGAGCAAGATGATGAATAAGAGGGAAGTAAGGTCGGTAATTCAAAGCCCGGAGCTAATGGCGCAGTGTGTAGTCCAATGAGGGTCCTGAGAGATTGTAGTGAACAGGTTGTCAAATACAGGTATGTGACTGCATTGATCATGTCCCAGCAGGACCATGGATTGTCATAAAAGACAAGTAAAAACACTTTCATAACGGAACTGCTTACAAAGGGGTATGTAAGATTCAGTGACCAGCAAATGGCAAAGTGTCCAGGGATTAGTAGCAGGAAACTGTTACCATGGACAGGAGGGAGCTCTCGTTGGAGTAAGTCGTGACAGCAGAAAGAAACCAACAATCTGTGAGTGTAAGAAGCAAAGTGAGCAGGGAACTGGGAGATTAAATACCCCAAACACTTTTCTCCATCTTCCAGTTTGCTGGTGCAGATTGAATCCACCCAGAAGCCAGGGCATAAATAAGATCAGGTGATGCGGTTTGTCAAGATCAACATCCTAGAGCAAAGAGCAGGGTGGAGAATGCTTGTGAGGAGAATGCACCTGGAGGAGAGCAGAGAAAAACATTCAACACGGGAGTAAATAGGTATGTTGGAATGGCGTACTGTTTATAATTTTACCATAAAAGAGATGACATATAATAGAGATTTCCAAAGGAGGTGTATTATTCAGAGTCCAATAAATACCAAAAACTGGTGGCTTTTTCAGACTCTTTATGATCTTTCTACACTGTTTGTAGGGAGGCAACTGGGTGCAGGGCAGGCGGGGGCCCTGGAAGCTCCAGGCTTCCCAGCCCCTATTGAAAACTGGCCCCTGTTGGCCTCGGGATTAAGTCTCAGGGCTCTCGCCTCCAGACCTGAGTCCAATCCCCGTACTTGGAGGTGACCCTCCTGGCTCAGCAGTCCTCTCCTGTCCTGCCCGCTACTCCCCTTAGCAGTGTATTTGAGGTCCATCTGCCTGTTTTGCTCCCCACTCTGTCTCTGGTGAAACTTCTCACCTCCTGTACCTGTGGCCTATACCTCTGTTATTCCACACTAAAATAAAGAGAAAAAGCCAAAACCACTCAAGCTATTTCATGCATGTGATAAACAGCAAAGGGGGCCAGCGAAACAACCTTGAGTTGAGCAGGAGCAGAAACCACCACCAATGCTAAGGCTGGAGAAACAGTGGGAAGACTTACTATAACCAAAGCCCAGAAGAAGAGGGTCCTAGCAGGAGATGAGACCTGGTGGGCGATGAGTCTGCAGAAGGGACCACCCCATAACATCTGAGACCTTACCAGTGAGAGAAAGAATCAGAGCCTATGTCCTCTGGGGAAAGGGAAAACACCTACAGTCATAAAGGAAAAAGACTTTTTGAGTCAGTTTTGGTAAGTCATGCTCCGATTGATTCATGATTTCTTTTAGGTTGGAAAGGGATTAATGGGCTGTATGCCACATGGTCTTTCATTATGGACATCAATATATTTCTTTATATAGCATGTCTGTGTAGCCTGGAGCTATAAAATGGTGGTGTTACAGCTGTCTAGGGGCCGAATTCACTTTAGGAGGAAAACTCTAGCTGGCAAAACACTTTAATAGGCCATTTTAATTGTGAAAAAGTGACTCAGAATATAGCTGGTTTGGACTAAAAGCAAGAAAAAGATGGATAAGCTATAAAATATAACAAATGAACTTATATTTAAAAGGGTCATTGGGTATGAGCTAGACATGAAAGGTAAAAAAAAATACATAGAGAGCAACTTAGAATGGCAGGACACCAGAGGCCAAGAATAGCAATGATTAATGTTCACCTTGAAGAGAGTTGCTGAGATGCCTTGAAATATAACCCCCATGCCATGTTGTTCAAGGGTCAGCTGTATGTATTTTTCTATCCTTTTGCTTAAAATATGTGTATTTATAGATTAAATATTTATTTTTTAAATATGGTATTAGTTGGACTTCACTTTTTACTGCATTTTAATTCTGTGGTTTAGTGTATTCAGCCTGTTTATGTGAATCTATTTTAAGATTTATTTACTTATGCATACAAAACTGGGTATAGGCCAGAGGTGCTGGGGTGGTGAGAGGATTCACCAGGGACAGCGTGGGAACCAGAATAGACAGATTGACAAAGTATGCTGCTGAGGGGAGCAGCAGGCAAGACAGGAGAGGTCAGCCACACCCTGTGGGTCACCTCCCTGGCCTGGAATCGAACTCATGTTGACATGGCTTTGGCTTCCTAGTGTGGTGCTTTAACCCATTGTGTCACCAGGGAGGACCCTGAAAGGTCCAGTTTTATCTTATGTTCTTTGGGATTTTATTTCCATTTTTAATCGTAAGTTTAATGTTAATTTTTGTTAAGATAATGAGTGAATGAATCTTAGAATTCTTCAAAATATACTGAGTAAAATAGCTTTAGCACAGATTGCTTATTTTATGATCATATTTATATGAAGTTCTAGAACTGTGCTGTTCAATAAAATAGTAGCTACATGTGGCTATTAACCAAAGATGGTTTGTCCCAATTGACATGTTTCCTGTGTAAACTGCACAGTAGATTTTTAAGATATAATGTGGGAGGGAAAGAATATAAAACATCTCATTTATAATTTTTATAGTGATTGCATGAAACAAACTACATTGTTTAAAATTAACATCCAAAATTCCATCAAAAAGGGAGCGGATCAGTTATGGTGTGGTCAGGCAATGAAATGCCACTCAGTCCCCAAATAAAAGGAGTGGATTGTTTATACATGCAATATGGGTGACTTTCAAAATAAGAATACTGAATGAAATAAATCAAATCAAAAAGAGCAAATATTCATGATTTCATTTACATAGAATTCCAGATCAATGCAAATCTATAGTGACAGATCAGTGTTTGTTTGGTGAGGGACAGGAGGCAAGGCCCAAAGAAACTTTTTGGGCTGTTCAATAGCTTGATTATAAGGATGACTTCACAAGTGTGTATGTATATATGTGCGTGTGTGTGTATCTGAATATGTATATAGTTAAATATGTGTTATATTTGGCTATGAGCACATGTGAGTATACATA